GGGGGGGTTACCTGGCGAAGAAGAGAAAAGGGCATAGTTTCGACATGGATCTTATCACTGGTTCAATGAGCTGTTAAAGGATGGGGGTGTTATACATGGAAAAGAGGTTGGACCACCAATTCAATCTCCAACAGGATCTACCAAATGAGGGGAGAGTTTTGAAAACCCCACAAACATCCTAAGCTTGTGATTGCCCCAGACATTTGAATATACGTACGTGGAATTTAATAAGATGTTATGTCAAATTACTTGAAGAAGAGGGAGGAAGAAGCCTAATTAAGGCATTTATACATTGGATGGATAAGTAAACGTACCTTAGCGAATGAAGAAACCGACGTTTTGCAGCAATTCCCCCCCCCCCCCTTCCTTAAATAAAAATGTAAATCACAAAATTCGAAACATTTATTCATTATAAAAGCTAGATCCTCAGTAGAGTTAATAAAACGCAAGCAGAGCATAACTCTCTGACTTTTAAAATTCTACTTTCTTCCTGGTATCTCTGTTAGTTTTTACGTTTCTAAGAAGCATCACTTCGGTTAAATTTCAGCTGATACCTTCAGCTTCAACTCCCTCTCTATAACAATCTGACATTCATCACATGTTTTTACCTATCTATTCCAGAGGGATCACGATCTGAGGGTGTAGCCAAATTGTGCCGTGAATTTTTTGCTCCTATTTCACTGACTTTTTTTTAGCTTCTTTTTTCTTTGAAGTGAAGTTGCATTAGACATTGCCGGCTTCATCTTCAGGACATGCGTTGGCCCCGCTCACGCCCCATTCCGCTCACGTACTTTGAATAAACAGGTGCGCCTGACCTGCAATGAGCATTTTTGGCGGTGGGAGTATAGTAACGTTCCTGTGATGACTGAATACATCACGTGGAGGATTACAACTGACAATGTGGGCCAAACGTTAGAGTTGCACTGGCTCTCTCAAGCATACACCAGCCATTTCAGGTATGTTACCCACGGCAGGTACAAGATGTATCTATTCATTTATTGCATTTTATTCGGTTCTATCTATCTATCTATCTATCTATCTATCTATCGATCTATCGATCTATCTATCTATCTATCTATCTATCTATCTATCTATCTATCTATCTATCTATCAAGTTAGCTAGGCGCTGGCTAGTTGTTCATTTCTCACAGCTAGTAAACGAGAGACGAGATAGTTGCACGTTTTTCTCTCGGCTGTTTGGTTTAGCGTAAATCTGAAGTCTTTCCCTGTTTATTTTACTACCTGCCTGACTGTTCATTCCTGTCAGGGAGATCAAGCTACTATCTATTAATTATGTCTACTAAAAGAGAAAAAGGTCACGTCACTCTTTTCGTCGATCGTTCCCTTTTCTACTGCAAAAAAGACCAGTACAACTTAACAGGACAACTAAACAGGTTTCTATCGAGGGTAAAATCCTGGAGGTGAACTTTATAAAATTTATACACAATAAAAACTCATATAATTCAAATTCGTTTTTTTTCATCTAGCAGTTTAATGCTTTATTTGAAAAGCAACCCGTGTTTAAATATCATTAGAACAGAAAGATCCCGGGATTATTATGCTTCTGCGTCTTATTGTTGAACCCTTACACGATTCTGCCTTTTAGGGTTTTGGTTCTTTTTCGTTTTGTTTTTCTTAAAAGGATGGGTGGGGGGGGGGGGTGGGGGGATAGGGGAATGCTTAAAGAGACACCAGTGGGGTAGAGGCGAAAGAAGCTGCAATAATGTTGACAACTTCGCCCGTGAAAGGGTTAAGATGTAGGCCAATGTAAGTTTGGCGTCTCTGAAGATTCCTTGAGAGTGAATTAATTGTCCTTGGAAAGGGCGTCATGACTTTACCCAGTCCTAGTAGTATGCTTCTTTTCGTTGTTTTATTAATCGCAAATGCAGCATGCCAAAATACGGTTGCAAACGTTTTTCTTAAGACCTTTTGTTGACCTAAAATCTTCCACTTTGTGAAATTAAATATAAGGACAGTACTGTAGTTTTCAAACCCCTAAGTAATGCAAGTAGACCTACTTTGAAAGAGCTACGTGTGGCCTTAATCATATACGTTTATATGGAAAAAAGAGTTACTGATAAATAAATCCCATTAAAAGCAGTGTGCACGCTAATTATTCTGCAAGTCAGATGTGGAGAGTTGTGTCGGACTGGGCTGAAAACCCTAATCAAGTTCGATCTCCTTTTGGCGTCACAGACGATGTGCGTACGTCTTTGCGAAAGTGAAAAGAGGTTGAGTGTATTAGCTATAAAATCATGTTGATATTATCTTTTGATTAGCCGATTCTATCTGTTCCCACAGTTATCCACACAAATGATCCTATTTGACTTTTTAGAGAGAGTGTGGGGCTATTAGTGCGCCTGTGGGGTGTGGTTTCTATGCGCGTGTGTGAGCGATATTGGGAGAGAGAGAGAGATAGAGAGAGAGAGAGAGAGAGAGAGATAGAGAGAGGGAGAGAGGGAGAGGGGGAGAGAGAGAGAGATAGAGAGGGAGAGAGGGAGAGAGGGAGAGAGAGAGAATGAACGAAAGAAAAGAAGAAAGGAAAAAAAGAGAGAGGACACACACACATAGAGAAAGAGAGAGAGAGAGAGAGAGAGAGAGAGAGAGAGAGAGAGAGAGAGAGAGAGAAAGAGAGAGAGAGAGAGAGAGAGAGAGAGAGAGAGAGAGAGATCTTCCAAAAAATCGCTGCTTTCAAGGCTACCAGGAAAGGGAACGCTGACAACACCTTAGAAAGTTCACGAATCAGAACCCGAGCAAGGAAAGCATACAAAAGACAAGACAGAGACGACAAAGGTGTCTTAGGGGTAAAATACAGAAAACATAAACCTTTGCTTTATGCTCTGTGATGTATACACCAACCAGGACAGGATTCCCTGTATTTGTCTAAACCCTTACCTAAAATATCTCCACGCGTTGGCAGTCTCCAAAAGAATGATTTCACAGAACGCTTGGCGAGTAGCATCGGTACATAGGTCTAGAGGATGATTGCGAGATGTTCGTGTTTCGCATCACGTCCCCATGTAAGCCCAAAAAGTCTTTTCCTCACTTTG